TTATAGTTTTTTTTTTGCTATCTAAACTTCTAAGAAAACCAATAACAAACATGAATCTACTTTTCATGAAAACATAAATGCTTCTTGTTTTTCATCTTAGATTCAAGTATATATCATCTTAGTTAATTTTTTTTTTTTTTTTTTTTTTTTTTTTTTTAGTATTAAGATGATCTTTTTGGTCCCAGCTTTTTATTAATACTTATAGCAGGTATATGTTTTATATAGATGCATTTATAATGAACTATTAGATGAGTATATAACTGGCTACATGTGTAACTTTTCTATATTACCTATTTAAGAAGTTCACCTGAGGGTTCTCCACCAGTTGCCATACCTAACACCCTTGCTTAGGTGTTCCATTTAAATCCTCTAATCTAACCCTAGTATTAATTTTATTAGGTCACAGACCCGGATCTATTCGCATTCGACCATAGGACTATAATCCTTTGACTATTTTTATCCTCAAGGTAAACCTACCAGAGTGAGCCATATTTCTTTTTATCGCTAACCTGGTTTGATGCTATGGCCAAGACCAACACTTGCAGTTAGAGTTACCCTTTAAACTGCTATTACCCTTGTAAAGTTTACCCAAACCCTGGTACCTATCTTTCTGACTTCTTCTCCATCATCCCCTACTAGCCACAACTCAGAACTAACTGATTCACCAGACTCCCAATCCAAATGGCCCAGTATAGTATACTTATGTATCCTTTTCCTCTGGTGATTCTAGCAGCCTGATTGGTCATGTGCTCCTCTACATATTTTTGTTATCTGGTTTACCTAATTAGTTTCTATGAAGATGTTTCATAGGCTTCCATCAGTCCAATAGCATTATTGAAAGTTTATGTTACCTTTTTACTCAGAATTTCCAAGTAAGTTTCTGTCTCTTCAGTTTCTTAGCCTTCTATGCCTAGTGGTCTTATCGTGGGTTTGCCCGAAGCCTTATATGACACAGTTTTACATTTCTCTATATACATGTACTGTGTAATGTTACACTTCGCATAGATGCCCTGAGCTCCTAATGTCAGGTGGGATCTGACTTGGTGTATCTAAGATTACAGATGCCCAAAACCCAACTGATCAGCAAGAAACAATTACCATAACACAGATATAATTTCCAAAATTCATTATCTGTAGGAATTGAACCTTAGACCTGCAACTTGAGGGTTAACAACTATCATCTTAGTTATTATTTTTTTGTGTTTTTCTATATCTAATATAAATAACTTTTATTTGGTTAGGCTTTTGAATCAAATATAATCTTAAGTGATACTACTTCATATAATAATAGTGAATCAGAAGAATTAAATCCTTTGAAATTAAAATCTGGTCTTACTTTTTTTAGCTAAAAATCATTTAAAAATTGGCTCTATAGATTTGCATTAAAACAAGGCTTTAATTATAAAATTAGGACAAGTGAGACAGTTGAAGATGTGTTGCAAAGAGTTACATATAAATGTATGAAATTAGGTACAAATAATCTACAAGTTACCTCAGATCCAATTCAATGATGAAATACTGCTTTTCAACAAATAAACTATCCTTGGAGACTTAATGTTACCTGTTCAAAGACCAATAATATTGTTAAAATTAATACATTTATTAAAAGTTATAATTATCAGCTTATCTCTATAATATATAAATTAGTTTCACATTTTTAAAAATTAATAGCTGAAATGTTAGCAGACATTAAGAAGTATGTAATTAAAGGTCAAATAGATTTGAAATCTATTTACCTATTGCTTAAGCATGACTATCCAGAAAATCCAATTTATAAACATAATTTATACAATACAATATATCAATTTCAGTATGAGAATAATTTAGGTAATTTGAATGCTTTACAGATGCTTCAGATGTTGTTAGAATAGAAGGATTTAGAGCCTCTTTGGGTTGTAAAACTTCAACTAAAACCAATTTCAAAAAAATTAAATTCTCTTTCATAGATGTCTTTTATGCAATGAAATATATATAGCAAATTTTGTGATATTATGATATTAGATACAACTTACAACACCAATCAGTTCCAGATAATGCTTTGTATTTTAACTGTTATTAACAACAATTATAAAACTCAAATTGTAGCATATATTATTATTGAGAACAAAACATTGGATACTTATAGATGAATATTTGAAAGTATCTATAATGAGACTAGTATTTTCTCTAAAGTTATCTTTACTGATTCTGACCTTTCAATGATCCAATCAATCAAAGAGTTTATCCTAATTCTTAGCATCTTTTATATATTTTCTATATTGATTTAAATCTTAGAAAAAAGTTTAAGAGTAAATTAGGCAATAACTTTGAAGAATTTTATCACACATTTTATTTATGTCAAAATTCTCTATCAAAAGAATTATTTGAATTGCAATGGGTTCAATTGATTGAGAAATATCTTATAGTGACAAAATACTTGCAAGATACACTTTATATTACTAAAGAGTTTTGGGCAATTTCTGAATATATAAACAATTTACAGCAGGAGCTCAAAGCATACAGAGAATTGAATGTATTAACAAATATATATATAGCAAAGTGGATCATACTATATCTTTGTATGATTTATTGTTAAGCATCAAAGATTATATGAAAAATAAAAAACATATTGCAAGTTTTGATGCTAAACAGAATGTACTACCCATGGTTGGTATGCCTATGCTAAATATCTGATTTTTTGGACAAATAAATAGTATTATTAAGGAGTATTTGACTCCCATTATGTTTGAAAAATAACAGAATCAGATGAATCAATCAGTATGCTATAATGTTATTAGAGTTATGAAGTAAAAATAGTTACTTAATACAAAAACTGATAATGAAGAGATATGTGTTAAAAAAACTAGAGAACAAGAGCAAGACATATGACAAATTCTCTTTAAGTCTTTGATTAAAAATATACCACAGAAATTAATTATTAAAGTATAGAATGTACATGCTACTGAGTCAGAAGGAATTGGTCATTATGTAGTATTGCTTAATGAAGGTATACATATGTATACATGCCTTCTCTTAATTAACAAAAGATTAGTATATCAGCATTTTTTCTGTGTTGGCACCTATTCTCGACATGCAGTATTTCACATAACTATTATTTTAACATGTTGGTATTTAGAAACTAATATTCAAAAGGATAAACTTTTACAAAGATATTATCCTATTTTAATATACAATATAACAAAACTAAGAAATAATATAGCATTTAAAGATACTATTAATTTTTATTATTTTTCTTCAATTTAATCTAATTTGCCTATCTCTCAATCTACAACAAGTTCATCTAATACTAATGCTAAAGCTATCTATACAAAATTACTTGAACTATCTAAAAAAGCTATTAATCTTGCTATCGGGGTTAATATTCAACAAGAATTATCAAATACTTTAAAAGATTTTATTCATAAGACACAAGACCAAATAAATTACTAAGATAATAATCAACAAAATAATTATCCTACTGTTAACATTAATAATCCAACTATTATTAAGCATAGGAGAAGACTTTCAAAAAGACTTAAGTCAAATATTAAAGAACTTTTAAATAAGGAAAAATGAATATTAGAAGATAGTACAAAAACTAATATAAAGAATAATATAATGAATTTTGTGAAAGACCGAAAATGTAAAAAGTGTAAACAGCATAACCATTATGCAACAACATGTCAAAATTAATTTTATGATCATTTAATAGTTTAGAGTTATAATAGAATAAGAAACTATGTAGAATTTGGTAAAGTATTCAATCTACCTTTCAATTTAGTTATAATTAAGTATCTTTTTATAGTTTAGAGTTTGTACAAATTTTTACCAATGTTCTTGACATATGTCATATAGTTTTTTTTTTTGATATTAATCATATATGCTAAATATATTCAGTAATACTCTGCTAATTCTTTATAACAAATAAAAGATATTATAAGCTTGGTTCGATATACATATATAACAATTATAAAAACTGATTACTAAATAAAATTGAACAATCAAAATTAATATATCACATTATATTAGACTGGCTAACTTAAGCAATTATGAATTACTATAAAAAACTATGTTAAAGACCTAAGTCTGTTATAATGTAAATATGTATATACTAAACTTAGGTTTATACTATAGAATTTAAAATTAGTATCTAATGACTTAGGTAGTGTACCTACAAAAATTGGTTACCCTATAAGAATAAACCCGTGTTTTTGTTAGGAGTAAAGTAAGAACAGTATAGGATTAAGGTTGGAACTATTGGTAAATTTCACAAGGAACATTTTTAATTAGGCCACAGAAGATGATTTCTTAATTGAAATTTCAAGTTATTCAGTTTTTTTTTACAAAAAAATGGGCTCGTTTCAATTGTTTACATTACACCTGGTTTCAAAATTTGATTGGTCGCACTAGAGTTACGTAGGATTCTGAGATCTGTGCACAGGTCTAGTACCCGTGGGTTTTGTATATATACAGTATAATTGTATATATATCATATATATAATATATTATTTTTAGTATATAATCACGTAAGTAGCATACTATATAATAGCCGTGTTTGTACACGCGTGTACAATTAGTAATTGCCTTAATTATATTAGTCTACTTAAATATGCACGATGCAGATCATTTCACAGCTTGTGTAACATTTACGGACGTGAGTAAATCGCATTTCTAATTGGATAAAATCGATGATCTTTAATAACATAATGCGGATCAGATATAACATAAAAATTAAAAAATTTCGCCTAATAAATCGCCTTTTGGGTTAACAAAAAAAAAAATTCCTTGCAAGATTTTGCTCTATTAATTCTGATTGAACTTAACTTTTTAAGAATAAATGACATGTAATTTGGTGCGAATAATTCCATCCAATAGAAACTTGGGGGAACATACATACGAAATCTGATCTGGATTAGAAGAGATCTGATTGGTGCATCTTTCATACCGATAACGACAATACGGTTCCAATAAAAATAAAAAAAACGTTCCCAGTGGATTTTTACCGAAACCATTGGAAAAACATGGACGTCCAGTGGGATTCTAGCTCCCAGTCAACAACGATGTCAGACGATGATGATAGTTATGATTGTAACACTGAGGATGAAATAGTTTACGACGAACATGATAATTGCGAGGTAACATGTTAATTTGCAAAAAAACAAAAAAAAATTCTAGATCATATACATTATCTTTCTGTTACTTTTTAGAGCATGCAAGTAGACAATTCCGATAATGGCCTGAAAGAAACTGAACTCGATAACATACCGACTTTAACTTCTGCATTAATTGAGAAATTACAAGAGGCCATTACTCAAGTAATAACCAGACTATATATTAATCATATATTCGTTAATGTCATCCTAATCCCTTATTCGTATTTTCAATAGTCGTATTCTTTGCGATCTTTGCAAAAATTGCTATTGGCATTTCGTGCAGCTGCTCATATTAATGATAGTGAAGAAAATCGTTATTCATATAAAATTAGTGATCCAGCAGGTTTATTGTAACTCAATGACTTTGATTTTTTTTTAATATTCTACGTAACTTATCGATACTTTGACTATAGTATTCAATAATCTTGTGGTAATTTGTCTGAAATACACAACCAGTGTCTTCGATCATCATTTAGCTAGGCAAAATTCTAATTTAACTAGCGAGTTTGTTTCGATTTTATACAAATCTCCATTTGTACTCTTTTTTTCTAAGAAATGGCTAAAAAGACTTTTATAGGAAACTTCCGTGTACGCACCGAAAATGGAAAACGTTGGAGCCACTTATAAAGTCCTTCTTGAGTAGTGTTTTGTATATGTTCGAGCAAGTGACTGAGAATGATATGATTTACTTTATCGTGAGAGAATTAGAGAAAGCTATCCCTTATTATGCATGCTTTCCTAAATTATCCAAACACTGTTTAAAGGTAAGCAACAACTCTTTCAGTTTTCGAGATTATTTATACGTATTTACGAACATCATTATTTTTAAAGCAACTACTTGATATTTGGGGAACAGCAGGAGATAAGACTCGAATTGCAGCATTTCTTAATATTCGTAAACTTGCATATATTTCACCTCCACCTTTTATTGACCTTTGCCTAAAGGTATGACATCATGAAGTTTAATAATCACAATCACCGCCCACGCTTAAAAATAATATTTGATTTCAGGGTATTTATACTACTTTTGTCCGATATTGCAAAGAAACCACTGTTTTTACGATACCATCCATAAATCTTATGAGTAATTGTGCAGTTGAAATGTATGGAATTGATCTAAAAAGTTCATATCAGTCTGCATTTAATTATATTCGACAATTAGCTATTCATTTAAGGAATTCTACTAATAACCAGAGTGAGGTGAGAATTTGCGCGGTTTGAAAACCATAATACTATATTAGTATATTTGTCATGAATTAGATTATTTATTATTATTGTGTAGGAAACCTTTAATGCTGTATACAATTGGCAATACGTACATTGCATTGGATATTGGTCTAAGGTACTGGCTAATTATTGTGATCAAACACGAGAACCTACCAATAAAAAGGGTTCACTACAAGAGTTAATTTATCCATTAGTACAAGTATGCACTGGTGCAATAAGGTATGGATGAATTTAGGTTTTAATATTACAATACCAATATTTTAACCAAACATATTATAATAGATTGAATGTCACAGCACAATACTTCCCGTTTCATTTCCATTGTATTCGTGCTTTGACTCATCTCATCAAGAAAACGGGGACTTTTATCCCTCTTGCACCTTATCTTTTTGACATTTTGCATTCAGCTGAAGTTTACCGAAGACCAAAACTTGTAACTTTAAAACCTTTAGATTTCTCTTCTACATTAAAAACACCAAAAGCTTATTTACATACAAAAGTATATCAGGTATGACCATCATTAATCTATGATTATTGGATTAAATGGCAATTTGATGTCTTTTTAATTAGGATGGTATATGCGAAGAACTTGTTGAACTATTGTCTGAGTATTACTCTTGTTACAGTTTGTCAATAGCATTTCCGGAATTAGCAATACCTGCTATTATTCATGTTTGTAATTTTTTTTATTCATTATATCAAATGCAATATTGCCAATTGCCAACTATAAATTTATATTTTTTTTATAGATTAAACGACATATTAAGAATTCAAAAAATGCCAAATTTAACAAACAACTTCAACAGTTTGTTGAAAAAGTAGGCCTTTAATCACAGCATTTTATGTTATTAATCATATTATTATTTAATATCTAAATCATATTATATTGGCCGATTAATTATAGCTGGAACAAAATACTAAATTCATAGAGCAGCAACGTTCACGGATTGATTTCAGTCCTAGCAATCGGGCTGAAGCTGTATGTCTTTTTTTTTAAAAAAAAAACAACCAAAAATTTATGGCTAATTCAAATTCAATTCAAATTTTCATTAATGTTCAAAGAAAGCGTTTTTAAAAAATTCGGAACCTGATTCAACACCACTTGGTGAATATATAAAAGCAACCAGGAAGATTAAAGAGGAACGCCAAAAACTGATGACCATGGTATACATAACTTTCTTAATGTTGTACATGCTTATTAATTATATTTTGCCAAATAACAATAAATTTAATGTTACTAGGATTCAGAGAACAAGTAATATTTTTAGGTTTGGAAGTTGTTTGTAAATTCAGTATATTTTTTTAACATAAACAGCTGATGACAATAAAATTAGTGGTTACAACCATTTACAAATATTATTGACTTAATATCTGATTTAAATAAGGTTAACAAAATAAAGAATTCTTTACACTCAAAAATATTACTAAGCTAATAAAATTTATTTTAACTTTTATAGTATTTTTAATTGTGTTAATCTTGCCAACATTAAGACAATTTTGGCCCATGCTTAACATAATTCAACCTGGAACTAGGGACAAGTTTTATGCATCTAATTTTTATATATTGATTAATATTTAAATAAAATTTACTAATTAGGTAATAACTCGGTTTTTATAACATTTGAAAAATTTTTAGATTTGGTTTTTAGAATTTTATATATATAATAGATTTTATTTAAAAGCACATATTTTTTATATATAGGTGCAAATTTTTTAGCTGTTGTGTAATATATTTAGTTAATAAAAATGCAGAAAACCAATATAATTTTAATTTTTATTATAAAATTTAAGAGTAAGAGACATGTAAATTATTTTTATATAGTATTTTAAGGGTAGAGGATATATTGATTATTTTTATATAGTTTTATATATTATTTTGAAATTTTCATATAAAATTGAAATATACTACTTATAAAACTTTTTAAATTACAACTAATTTTTATTAAAATTTTACAAAATATAAATAAAATAATTT